GGCAGGACTTCATTGTGCGTTTAGTATGGCAGGATTGGCCTGGCAGCAAGTGATGAGAAATGGATGGTGGTACTTAAGTCAGTTCCCACAACAACACTCTTGTAGTCCATGCTTTGCCTTTGGCTTACATTTGCCTTCAGTGACAGTGTGATTCCAAAAGGGCTTCAGCACAGGTACAAGAAAGTGGAGGAATTGAATAGCTCAATGGAAGCAATAGATTTTTTTCCTAGTTACTGCCCCTCCCCTCCCGCCCCCTGCCTTTGTGTCAGCAATACAGCCACTTGACAGATGTTTAGTTCCAGCTGTGCACACGGCATGGACGGCAGTGGGAACATCGTGTTCCCCGCCTGCCCATTGTTCAGCTGGCTGAGAGGGTGTGTTTAAGGTCTCTCTGTGTGGGTGTGTAGCCTGATTATGTGTGTATGTGTCCAAACTACTGTTTGTGAGGGTTATATCACAGCCTAGGAGTCCAAGCTAATAAGGCACATAGCTTTTTCTTAGTCAAGTCTTAAAACACACACATGCACACACTAAAAAAAAACACAAAAAAACAAAACAAAGCAAAAGTAAGCTATTAATACCACCTCTCTCCAGTTCCTCACTCCCTTTACATGAAGTCAGGTTGTATTTTGGTGTCCCGACCCGCGGGACAACAACGGGGGTACACAGGAACCACCTAAGAGACTGAAACAAACAACGAACGCGGAAGAATGGAGGCAAGACAAGGTTCTGATCAAGCCTCAACTTTATTCTTTGAAATAGTCGTATATATACAGCAGAAACAAAGGGGGCAAGGTTGCCTATGCAGAGGGGTCTTTGGCAGTGTATAATTGGTTTAGGCACTGAGTGGCAAGGTGGTAAGGTATCTGGCAACACAGGATTGGCTAACTGCCAGGGCAGCGTAACATTCCAAGGTGTAACATTCCAAGGCTGGGCTATCTAGGGGAGAGGATCAGGAAGGGGAAGTTGCAAAGATGCTAAGCGGCAGGTTAATCTTATCTTCTGGCCAAACCCTCAGGGCACCACATAACTTCTGCTAGAAGGAACTTAATTCTATTTTCTTAAGACTGAGTTGCTTGTCTCAACTCTGATGGCTCCCAACATAGCATGACTCTATAATTACAGATGTAATAGGGGTAGGTTCCAGAAATTTGATTGTGATCTTTTTACCTTTAAAAAAAAACAAACTTATTTGACCATATTGTTAACTTTCTTTTAATATAGTTTTATTGATTTTAGAGAGAGAGAGGAAGAGAGGGGAATAGAGAGCTAGAAACATTGATGAGAGAAACATTGATCATCTGCCTCCTGCATGCCTCCTACTGGGGATCAAGCCCACAATCTGGGCATGTGCCCTGACCAGGAACTGATCCCATGACCTCCTGGTTCATGAGTCAATGCTCAACCACTGAGCCACACCAACCAGGAGGAAATGTGCTTTTTAATAGACCTGTTTTATGTATGCTCTGGGAATACAAAGGTGGTCAGGACAGTCCTTTCCCCTTACTAGATGATCATACAAATGAACAGATAAGCTAGTGCAATAGGGTTCACCCAAGCTATGGACAGAACACTTACAGGCACCCAGGAGAGGGAGTGGCTGCTCCCACTGAGGAAGGCTAGCGATCCTGGGGTTGTACAACCAGTTAGTGTAGTGCTTGCTGTCCAGCAGGTAGGCCGCTGGAAAGTGTTGCATCTGCTGCTTCCTCCAATGCAGCAGGCATCATGTGTGGAATGAAAGAACGCATCGTCCTCTACTGTCCTGCCCTCGGAGCCACACACGGATGAGGAACTCAGGGATGCAGGGAGGACTGGCCAGCTGGTCACTGCTCTCATTCCTGACGGACCTCTTGCAGGTCCCCCTGTCATGTGGCAGAGGGAGTTAGAAATTTTGTTTGGCTTATAAACAGGAAACGGATACAGGCTTTACCCAGCTGCTTATTATCTGGGCAGGCTAAAGCTAGTCTCCCAGATCCTTGCAAAGGCAGATGATAACAGCTACATATTAGGGTTGTTTGGGGAATAACATTAAATATCTGATACATAAACTGCTCAGCATTGTGCCTGACAGGAGTCAGTGCTAATACGTAGTATTTATTTTTATTAATGGACCTCTATTTGTGTACCCAGAGCTGACTCATCCTCAGGCCATCAAAGCCAACCTCCATATTTACAATGGCTCTTAACTGTTCTGCCCAGATCCCTGGAGGGCTAGGACACCCTCCGAGCTGACCCACCAGGCTCTGATTCTCAATCTGGGGCCCATTCTTCCTAGCTCAGGTTGGCTTGAGAAAAGTCTGCAGGTTATTTGAACCCCTTCCTGGCCCCCACTGAAACTTTTTGCTTAGGGCAGTGAGTCTTAAGCAGGGTGCCTGTTAGCATCCCCCACGGAGCTCTGTTAAAATACACAAACTGCGTCCCACTATGACTCACTGGACTTGCATTATGGTGGAGCACTGACTGGGAAGTGCGCGTTACCTTTCCTGGCAATCTGATAAACAGGCCTGGTTAAGGGATACTGTCTTGTGGATGTCTCTCTGCTCAATGTTGTCTTACTAAGCTAGCATAGCACTGAATCTTCCAGCAAAAAGTAGTGGTGGCCAGTTAAGTTTTCAAAGCTCAGAGAAACTGGCCCTAGGCCTATATCAATTTTAGGATAAAAGACTCCAAACCCAGAAATTAAGAAACCAGTTGGCTATTGGGGAAGCATTTAGAAAATGTGATGAGAGGTGTCATGCACAGGCTAATGGCAGAGATTTCAAGGAAGAAAAACACTGTGGTCTCTGTTTCCATTTCGCCCTTTGCTTCTGAAATGAGAAAAGAAGGCGAGTGTGTTCGCAGCTGGTGCAGAGATGGGCAGCGAAGGCCCTCAATACTCAGCCCTATGCTCTGCGAACAACACGGCGAACCCCCGATTGCCACGGGCTTTGGTTTTTGTCTCGGCCTTCATTCTTGCCGTTTGGGGCTCCTGGTTGCTGTGCTAAGATGAGTGTCAACACAATTCCAACGGAGCCTCGTGCAAAGTTTCTGCTCCTGCCAAGAGACTCAGCTGAGTTCTGAGTAAAGATGGGAAATGATGGGCCAACGAAGGAGGAAACTCTGCCTTTTCAGTCTTGAGGTGATCCAGAAAAGGGGATGAGAGAGACTCCTCAGAATTAAGACAGGAAGGGGAGTTCAGCCCCTGACCACCCACCCCATCCCTCCAAGCAAAGACTGGGAGATAAAGGCACTGCAGTCAAATGAGATACCTGTGAAGTACTTTAGCTGGACTCCGTGACTATTTACATCGAGAGCAGCAGCATCAATAACTTTTATCATTGATGCTCAAGGTCCCGAATTAGTCTCCCCACCCCCACCTGAGCCTGCATCCTGCTGGGCAGAGGGGATCTGTTCAATCCTTGGAACTTCCGGCTAAGGTGACTGCATAAGCTTTTGCTGTAAGAACTTTCCCTGAGGTCTAATCTCTTTTTTGCTGACAGTTCCTATCCTCCTGAGCCTTCCTCTTAAACGGCCTACTGCTTATTGGAACAGGGCAAATAGCCCCATACAGACCCGTGCTCTAGAAACCGTTACAATTTATTAAAGGACATCAAGCATGCGGAGGAGAAAAACAAGCCACTCGCCTCAGCTCTGTGCTATTCCCATCGCAGAGGACATGGAAAACCCCTCTTCTCTTGGCCAGCACCCTCCCTCCCCTACATGGGGTCTGTGCATCTGTAAACTGGGGGTAGGGGGGTGGGGTGGGGGGGGTGTGGATTCTAGCTTTCTTGCCGCAATTAAGACACGGTGGTTCACAGCTGTCCAGAGCTGGGTATCCAGCGAGGCAGGGTCCAGGCCTGTTGGATCGCGAGAAGGGTGGGCTCTGCCAGTCCAGGGTGGGTGTCAGTCCTGGGCTCTGATGCAGGACGCGCCTTTCCTTTGTCTGACCTTATCAGACAAATCCCCGCTCCCGCTGGGGGCAGTCACATGAAGCATATATGCTTTAGAAAGATGTTTGCAAACATGACGGTGCAATTTAAAATCTGGGTCCTACTTTCCTGAGCTCGGACCCAAACCTGTCCTGAGAGAGGAGAAGGCGCTTTCGGCAAAGGACTGCAGGGGCGGGAGGAGGCGCCGGGGCAGGCGGGTGGCTCCCCTGCGGTGCCCACAGGCGGCCAGCAGGTGTCAGTGCGCCCTCGCTCCGGCGCCGCGCGGGCCTCCGCCTCCGGGACCCCTCCCTGCCGCGGTGTCAGGGGGTGCGGTCCAGACCCGGCGTCGCTGGGGTCTCACGGACAGCTCTGCTGCGGGGAACATACGCGGTCACCCTCCCTCCATTGCAGCTCTGAACTCTGCCTGAGGCTGCTCCCCCGGAGGCGATCCCCCTTCCGCCCCAGGGGGGTCGATCGGCACCTGTGCCTCCTTTCTCCCCGGGACTCCCCTCGCCGCGGCCGCCGGGAGCACTTACGGTGGAGGGCAGCCCGGCGGCCCAGGGTGGGACTGCTCCGGGTGCATCCCGTCCCGGTGGGGTGGCCGCCTTTCCAGATTCGGGTCACAAGCATCTCCAACCCCTTTCCTCCCAAGACCCAGCTGGATGGGGCACTCCCGGTGCCCGCTGCTTCCTCCGGGGCCGGCGGTAGCCGGTCTGCCGATCCCCAGCAGGGGCCGCTCCCCGCACCCCGGGCGCTCCTAAGCCCGGGGCTCAGGGCGCCCGCCTTCCCCAAGGGCAGGTCCCGCCGCCGCCGGGGAGACAGGGCTCCCCCGGGTCAGGCGCGGGGCACCGGCTCCGGACCCGCGCGGAGGGGAGGCGCCAGGGGCGGGGGAGGGTCGGCTTCCCACGTGGGGGCTGACGCCGGCTGCTCGGCAACGCCGGCCTGATCCCGGGGCTATAAAACCAGTCCGCGGCGAGCGGGCGCGGCGAGCAGCAGCGGCAGCAGCTCGGCTTCCGTGCAGGCGCCGCGGCCCGGCCACCCGGCACTGTCCGCCCGGCCCGGCCCGGCGCGCCCGCCTCCATCCCCGCTGCCTTCGCACCGGCCGCTCCGGCCGCGCTCAAGCGCCCCAGGACCCCTCTGCCCGGACCGCGGCTCCCGGAGGGTCCACTGCCCACCCGCCCGGGGGCGCCCGAGCACGGGGGGCGCCTTAATGCGGCCCCCACACCTCTCGCCCGCCGCCGCCGCCGCCGCGGAGCCCCGCGCGCCGCGCCCCGGCCCCGGCCGGGCACCCAACTTAGGAAGGCGCGCGGCGCGCCCCGAGACGGCAGAGTCCGCGCCCGGGCCCCGGCCCTGGCCCCGCCGGCCCCGCCGCGTCTGGGGGCAGCAGGGGAGCCGGTGATCGCTGCGGGGATGTGAGGAGCCGGACGTAGGACCCGAAGCCCGCCATCCGCACCCCCTCGGCTGCCTCCCGGCGTGGGGGCGGCCCCCCGCACACGGTAAGACCTCTCTCGCTTTTTGTTCTGGCTCAAGAGTCAAGAGATAGATTTAATATATTTTTAATTTCCTGTTATCTTTCCAAGTGACCAGGCCGGCGGTGATTTTTTGTTCTCTCTCTCTCTCTCTCTCTCCGTGAAGAATACATCTCTTTTCCCATCGCTCGGCTCGACCTACTCTCCCGCCGCCGCCTAGAAATAAAAGTTGGCTGCTTGCAGGAGCTGCGAGCCACCAGGCGATCGCCCACCCCGGGCGGCGCCCGGAGCGCGGACAGGGGGCGCCGTTGGCTGGAGGCAGGGCCCCCCATGGGCCCCAGCTAGCGGCCCCCCAGCTCCAGCCGGACGTCCCCGCGGCCCCCACCCCATGTGAGGCGGGAGGAAGAGGAGGACCCCACGGGCTCCGCGAGCCGGAAGGCTGCTGGCACCGGGCCCAGGCGAGCGGAGCGGGCACCTCGCCGCGTCCATGTTCCGCCAGGAGCAGCCGCTGGCCGAGGGCAGCTCCGGGCCCATGGGCTCCCTGCAGCCGGACGCCGCCGCCGCCGCCAACGCGAGCTGGAACGGGACCGAGGCGCCCGGGGGCGGCGGCGCCTGGGCCGTCCCGTACTCCCTGCAGGTGACGCTGACGCTCGTGTGCCTGGCCGGGCTGCTCATGCTGCTCACCGTGTTCGGCAACGTGCTGGTCATCATCGCCGTGTTCACCAGCCGCGCGCTCAAGGCGCCCCAGAACCTCTTCCTGGTGTCGCTGGCCTCGGCCGACATCCTGGTGGCCACGCTCGTCATCCCCTTCTCGCTGGCCAACGAGGTCATGGGCTACTGGTACTTCGGCAAGGCGTGGTGCGAGATCTACCTGGCGCTCGACGTGCTCTTCTGCACCTCGTCCATCGTGCACCTGTGCGCCATCAGCCTGGACCGCTACTGGTCCATCACGCAGGCCATCGAGTACAACCTGAAGCGCACGCCGCGCCGCATCAAGGCCATCATTGTCACCGTGTGGGTCATTTCGGCCGTCATCTCCTTCCCGCCGCTCATCTCCATCGAGAAGAAGGGCGGCGGCGGGCAGCAGCGGGACGAGCCGCGCTGCGAGATCAACGACCAGAAGTGGTACGTCATCGCGTCCTGCATCGGCTCCTTCTTCGCGCCCTGCCTCATCATGATCCTGGTCTACGTGCGCATCTACCAGATCGCCAAGCGCCGCACCCGCGTGCCGCCCAGCCGCCGCGGCCCCGCGGACAGCGCGCCGCCGCCGCCGGGGGGCGCCGCCGAGCGCAGGCCCAACGGCCTGGGCCCCGAGCGCCGCCTGGGCCCCGGGGGCGCCGACGCCGAGGCCGAGACGCTGCCCGCCCAGCTCAACGGCGCCCCCCCGGGGGAGCCCACGCCCGCGGCGGCCGCCGGGCCCCGCGACACCGACGTGCTGGACCTGGAGGAGAGCTCGTCGTCCGAGCACGGGGAGCGGCCCCGGGGCTCCCGCCGGTCCGATCGCGGCGGCCGCGCCAAGGGCCAGGCGGCCCGGGGGAGCCCGGCGCGGCCCGGGGACAGCCTGCCGCGGCGCGGGCCGGGCGCGGGGCCCGGGGCGCCGGGGAGCGGCCCCGAGGAGGAGCGGGGAAGCGGGGGCGCCAAAGCGTCGCGCTGGCGCGGGCGGCAGAACCGCGAGAAGCGCTTCACGTTCGTGCTGGCCGTGGTCATCGGCGTGTTCGTGGTGTGCTGGTTCCCCTTCTTCTTCACCTACACGCTCACGGCCGTCGGCTGCGCCGTGCCGCGCACGCTCTTCAAGTTCTTCTTCTGGTTCGGCTACTGCAACAGCTCGCTCAACCCCGTCATCTACACCATCTTCAACCACGACTTCCGCCGCGCCTTCAAGAAGATCCTCTGCCGCGGGGACAGGAAGCGGATCGTGTGAGCGAGGGGTCCGCCCCCGACGACCCCCCGATTCCCCAGCAAAGGACGCGCGCGGACCCCGGGCGGCGGGTCCAGGGGCGCGGGTCCACCCAGCCCGCCGGCTCCGCGCGCCCCAGCCTGGGGCTGCTCTGCGGCCTCCTTGGGACACCTGCTCTTCCCCACCGAGGAAGAAGACTGGCTGGGAGGGCCACACGCCTACCCTCCCCTTACATCCTCCCACCCCCATTTTGTTAGGGCCGCTCCGGACTCTTCCAGGAGCGATCTTCCAGGGCCCTGGGGCCGCCCCTAATCAGTATTGTTTCCTGAAGGCATTTTCACCTCCCCGGAGCCCAGACAGAGCAATTCAGAGCCATCACTGAAGCCCAGAGGACATGGCTCTCCAAGGGTTAACGACAGGGGTTACCTGGCCTTGGCCCCTTGCTCTCCCCTCCCCCTTCCCCCATCTCTATTTTTAAACACAACTCAGGGCAGCCCAGCCCGCCCTCCCATCCCCATCCTCCCCTGTAAATAGACACTATTTTTGATAGGACCTGCGGGGCAGGGCGGGGGTCCCAATGTCGCTTGGCTTTTGTCTTTGGAATCCTGGCTGTGGGAGATGCCCTCGAGGCAGACACGTTGTGTCTGGGGCAGGGCAAGCCTCTGGGCAAATGCAAGCCCTTTTCCAGTGCCATGACTGACTTCCCTCCGTGTCCTTTTCCACCAGCAACTGGTGACTGTCCCTTGGGGCCTGGCCCTGCTCTGAGATGCCCCGAGGGGGAAAAGATTTGTCCATTTTCTTTCCTGTGCCTCACAGCATAATTGCCTTTTCCTATGTAAATAGTGCCATGATGGACCAAGACAGAAGCAACGAGCCTTTCTGGCTTGCATCAGCCCCGTGTACAAAGCCATCACCCCCTCCATGCACCTTTTAACTCACTTTGAAACCTCCTTCGGATGTCCCCCCCCCCCCCCTCCTTTTCTCCGGGGCCACTGCTTGAAGAATATGTATGTTTCTATTCTGTGTGTACGTGTGCGCCTCCCTGTCTCCCAGAGTGCTGACTGTGGGGAAATCATCGAGCTGCTGTTTTTAGACACAGAGAAGTGTAAATTATGTGGAAGAGGCAAACCTGATACAATTTGCCCAAGGTAAACAGCTCGAAAAGACAGATGGGCCTGCCAAACTGTACAGTTCCTGCCCCAAGAGCTCTGAGGTATCAAAGTGTTGTCCTTCCCCCCAACCTCTGTGTTTCTGGTTGAGATCCTGTCACTGATGAATTCCCAAAGTCAACGGAGGAGGGCGGAGACCTCGTGTTTACAGGAGTTTCTACACGTTTCGGACAGAGACTCTTCAAGGCTTGCACTCTCACTTTACTAAAGAAAAAATTAATGTCAGCACATGTTGCTAATGACAGTGGATTTTTTTAAATAAAAAAGTTTACAGATCAAATGTGAAATAAACATGAATTAAATGCTCTTGCCTGTTATCTGAGTTTCCAAAAGCTTTAAGACTCCGAGAACATCTTTAAATGGAAAAATACATGCACTTTATAAAACACGTTTACAAGTGCAAGCAACAACAAAGGTACTATTTACTAAGGTTTGTTGTTGTTGTTGTTTTTTTTTTTTTTTTTTTTTTTTTTTTTTTTTAATGTGCTGGACACAATGAGGTGCCCATTATAGGTTTCCCTTCATTTAATCTTCCCATGAATTAAGCACTATTATTATGCCCATTTTACAGGTGAAGAAACTGAGTCTCAGAGGGCAAGTGATTAGCCCAAGGTTAACAAGAGGTGGAAATGCTTCGTATCCAGCGTTGTCTGGTTCCAGGGTCTGTATTCTTAGCCCCAGAGCTTGCCAGAGTTGCAGGGTTACCACTCTGCAGAATGCTGCCAGCAGTGAGGTCTCTACACAAAGTGGTGCCATGTACACAAAGTATGGGCTATATCCCAGGTGTGTGGATATACACGGAGTGTGCACATATCGCAGGGTGCCTATATGTCCTAAAGTGTGTACCTACTCCAAAGGGCATGTGTGCCTCTGAAGTATGGCACATGCACCAAGTGTGGAATATACTCCAAAATGTGTATCGCACCTTGCAGTATGATAATGTACAGCATATGGCGTGTAGCCCGTGGTGTGGTATAAAGACCTAAACAGAAGCATGTCTTGGTTGGTGGCTTGAAATCTCTCTGGCCCAAAGCGGTGAGACTGTGTCACCTCACAGCTTCCTGTCCGTCCTGCTGCGTTGCTGTAATGCCAAGTTCTGCCCTGCTGTCCAGGGGAGCTTAAGATCCTCACTGCAGGGTGATGGTTATACACTCTGATGGTTATGCACAGGCCCTTAGAAATCCAAGAATCCGACCCCTCGTTTTCCAAGGGGAGTGGCTTGCACAGCGTCCCACAGCTCTGGGCCTCGGGACCCACGCTGCTTCCTGCAGCTGGAGGCAGCTGGAGCCACTCTGTCGAATCACACACACAGATGGTGGAGAGCTATTCATCTGGGAGCTGGACTTGTGGGGCCATCACCAGCCACAGGCCATGGTTTGGGGAAGGATGGCCTTTGTAAGGACGGACTTTGTAAGGTCCTGGAGCACCCTCTGGGCAACACTTGTCTCCTTTAACTGTTTTAGTGGGGGACAGGGGGGTGTCAGAATGGAGAGCTCTGAGAAGTCATCTGGGTCCTGAGGGGTCTTGGGGTGAGGGAAGGCATCATTCCCAGAGGTTTTTAGAGAGGTGGGAACAGCTGAGTCTGCAGACAGGAGGGTGGGCAGGCTGCTGCTTCCAGTGCCCTTTGCCTGGGGGCTTCATACATGGCCTTTGCTGCCAAGTCTGGCTGCGTGGTCTGGTGCTGAGCCCTGCTCCCTGCCCCCACTCCCGCCGCTTTCTCCCTCCCCCTCAAGACACCCATCGCCCCAAAGGCAAACAGTGCCAGATACTAAGCCAGCCTGGCAGGCCCCCAGGAACTAGGCTGTGTGTCTCAGACGCAGGGCAGATACAAACAGTGCTTGCTGTTGACTCTTCTGCTCTGTCTGCGGGTCTGTGTTTGTCTTGCCTTCACCCCCAGAGGCCCTGCTCCCGGGGAAGGGGGAAGTGTGGGTAATGGCGTCCTATAGGGCAGGCCTCACCCCCACTTTTCCAGCTGCAGAGATGCCTCAGAGTTGGAGGAGTCCTGGGCAACATGGGGAGAGAGGGCCGGAGTTGGCAGGGGCATGACTGTTCATAGCAGAGGGCTCAGACAAGTCTGCAAAGGTGAGGGGTGGGAGCGGGTTGGAGGAGGAGAGATGGCCCTTCTGGGGGTCTTACCGAGAGATCAGGAGCTGAGACTGTCACCTCACGGCTTCCTGTCCACATCTGTCCGGATTACCAGCCCAAGAGGACCTGTCTTCACGATGGAATCTCCTATGTTATATGACTTTGGATAGTGTATCAAAAGCCACTGGCCTTTGGATCTAAAGCAGGTTTGGCCAGATTTATTCCTGCAAGGAATAAATGGTTGGTGGCTTGAAATCCTGAGTTGGAGGAGGGGTAGTGCCCTCGCTTGAGCCTGGGTGCAAGACTTTATTCAGGCCAAGAGCGGTTTGGCTCAGTGGATAGAGCATCTGCTTGGGGACTGAAGGGTCCCAGGTTCGATTCTGGTCAAGGGCATGTACCTTGGTTGCGGGCATATCCCCAGTGGGGGGTGTGCAAGAGGCAGCTGATCAATGATTCTCTCATCGATGTTTCTAACTCTCTCTCTCTCTCTCCTTTCCTCTCTGTACAAAGTCAATAAAAAAAAAAATACTTAAAAAAAAAGACTTTATTCAGTATCTTCTGTGCCTTGGGGCTGGAAAGGAGGGTGACAAAAAAGTGCCTTTGGTTCCCCCTCTTTATGACTCGATAAGCAAATCAGGGTTTTAGAGCCAGAAGTTCCCACACACGTGCTCTACTCCGCTATTGTGCTGCTGAGGGACCAGAGACCTAGAAAGGGTGCCTGGTTATGGGACCTTGAGGGGAACCTCAGCCCACTGCTCCCTGACTCTGTCTGATGCCATCGATATCCCTCAGGAATCCTGTTTTGCTGTTGGATCGGTGAGCTGCTGATCAATCCCAGAGGAGCCCTCTATGCTGGTTCTGTGCCAAGCACCATGCCAGGCCCTGTGAGGCAGCTCTCTCCCCTCCATGCCTGTGTCCCGCAGAGCCCAGCGTTGGCCCCTAAGTGATTATTAGGGCTGCCCCGTGCTCTGGAAGCATTAAGGCTGCCGGTGTGTGTGTGTGTGTGTGTGTGTGTGTGTGTGTGCTCGCAGGATATGCCGGTGTGAAGCACTCGGTAGCCATACAGCAGTGACAGCATGGCGGGGGTCAGTGGATGCTGAGTGCCCTGAAGGTCATGGCATCTCTCTGTACTGTGGTGTGTGCAGTGGGGAGAGGTCGCTGCAGCTGGGAGCTCAGGGAGTACCATGTGGGAGGTGGGGTGCCAGGACTATAACCAAGGAAGGCGGGGAGGTGGGGGGGGCAGGGAAGGCAGCTCTGGTTCCAGCAGCTGAGCCCTGTGGAAGCCCTGCACGGCCTGGGGCAGGCCTCAGCTTTCATTTCTCCAGCCTGATCCCCCTTCGAGGACACCCATTGCCCCAGGAAACCTAGCCCCTGACTCAAATCGAGCAGCAGGATCCAAGCACCCAGGTTCCTGCCCTTATCAGCGCCAGCGCCCACTATCAGGCGGGAGTGCAGGCGTCTGCCCTGGGGCCTGAGAGTCTGTGATGCTGGGAAGGGCGCCTCCCTCGGTGGAGGGCGGGCCTGCCAGGGCAGCCATGCGGAGTCACGCAGCACCATCACGGACACCAGGATTTGTTTTGAAAATAGCATCGATCTCTTCGATTACCAGAAACCCTAGGGCTTGGAGTTAAATATACAAAGGGAACAAGGCCTGCTGGAAGGAGCCTGGGCCTGGGAGTGAGGAGGCCTGGGTGCTAGTCCCAGCTTTGCCTTCTACCAGCGGTGTAACCTCAGGCTAAGCCCTTTCTGAGCCCAGTTACTCCATTTATTAAATGAAAATGGCTAGTCTAGACCAGTGTGATTTCAAAGTGTGTTCCGCAGGGTTTAATGAACTACAAAATCAACCTCAATCTCTCTCACACACACAAGTGTTTATCATCTATCACCTGCCTATTGACTTCCTCTAGCGGGAGAATTGCCGGGCTAAGTGTCGGTAACAGGTACTTTTCTTCAGGGCACCTCAGAGCCGCGACTATGCCTATGTGGTTGTGATTCTGAGAGAGGCGGACAGGGAGAGCTGTGTCTCTCAAACTGCCCGGAGCACAGACTTTCATTCCTGACAGGGCACCGCGGTGAGTCATGTGGCAGGAACGCGTGTTGGGCCATCCTGGGCTAAGGCATCTCAGTGGCCTTCCTCTCGGTCAGTTCTTAGATTCTGTGACATGTCAGCTCTGCTCTCTCCTCTGCGGCTCCCTCCCCAAGGCAAGGCACACCGGGCAGGGCCAAGCTATGTGTTCTTGGGCACAGCTGACTCTAAGAGTCATTGCCCTCATTGCGACTAGGGGTTGTGTTGGGTTTGTGACGAGTATGGCCAGACTTCCCCCACACACAGGCAAATGGGCACACGCAGACATGTAGATATAGACAGACAGGTGTACACCATACTCCCCGTCAGCTGGTGAGTCAGGTGAGAGACAGCTCCAGGGAGTCATGTGACTAGCTCTTGGCCAAGGCTGTCTAGGCTGTCCTCAGTTCTGTGGCTCAGGTCCAGCCTGGAGGCTAAGAAGCAGACCCAGCGCTGCTCCGCAGTGATGACCAATGAGGCTGGGTCTGGGTGCGAGGTGGTGGTGATGGTAGTGGGGAGACGGGGAATGGTGCACGTCAATGACCCTACTGTCCCCTTGCCCTGGTACACGAGTCTGCTGCCACTCCCTCAGCACCTGTGGGCATCCCTTAGCCTTCTGTATTAGCAGCTACACAGGTTAAGGTTAAGGATTCTTTTTTTATGCCCCTGTCTTAGAGGAGGCACTAAGAGTATTAACAAATGATAAATTCTTTTATTCATTCATTCATTCAACAGTGTTTTTTTTGTTTGTTTGTTTTTTTTGAGCTGCTCCCAAAGCAATATTGCTCGCTGATCCTGCACTCTTTGTGCTGGGGGTGGAGTGGTGAACAAGATAATTAGGATTTTCACCCACGGAACTTTTGTCGGGAGACAGATATTAAGTGGGCACCGGGGGGTGGTAAGCAGGCTGATGCGGTGGTACAGTGGGAAAACTGTTACAGCAAAGTGGAAGGGAAGGTCTAGAAATATACCTCACAATATGGACATTCCTGCTGAGAGAAGGAAGCAGACATAGGAGCACATGCTATGGGAATCTCTCTACCTAAAGTACACAAGTAAGGCGTCTATGATGCTGGTCAGGGACTCATGTTGTTGAGCCTGCCTGGCCTAAGGCAGCAGAGGGAGTCCCCGGAGAAGTTCCAGCTAGAGGGGAGCT